TGAAGTTCGCCTGCTTTGAGCGCACCGTCGAGTTGCTGTATAAGCATGTGGTGCCCAAACCACGCGCCGAGTGTAACAAAGCGGAACAGTTGACGGTGACGTTCACCGCCGGTTATATCGGTCAGTACTAGTAGTGGTGGTTAGTGTGTCTGGTGTAGTGCTGGACATGGATTTGATTGATTGGTTATTAATGTGTGTTTTTTTTGTTTTGTTTGACAGCCGGTGTCTTCTGCGCGATTGTCTCACATCCGGCCGACACAGTGGTCTCGAAGCTCAACCAAGACAAGGGCAGTACCGCCGGAGGGGTGCTCAAGAAGTTAGGATTTGGCGGTAAGAAGTTGTCTACTATTAGTAGTCACACAAACACTTCCATTTAATGCAATCGTAAGAGTGTTTTAAACCTCTGGATTGCATTTGAATAGCAATTACACGCTAATTAAGTCCCGATCGGTTTGCGATCAATGCATTGATTGTTATTGATCCAGTCCTACGATCGGCGATGAGTCATACCGTGTTATAGTATAATTACACACTTAATTGTGTCCAATATCGGTGGCCAATCACACCCAATGGTTAGCCTATCGTACGACACAATTAAGTGACAAATTATTTACTCAATTAATAATTAATGTTAGAATTGAATTGTTTAATAAGTGTTTTACTAATTGATTGTCTGTTTGTGACGGCACAGGTATGTGGAAAGGACTGACGCCCCGTATCATAATGATTGGTACGCTAACTGGTCTCCAATGGTTCATCTATGACGCTGTGAAGGTTGCGCTGGCAATGCCGCGGCCGCCGCCGCCCGAAATGCCCGAAAGTCTTAAGAAAAAGTTGGCCGAAAAGCAGGCGTAATGAGCGCTACGCAAGAGTTTTAGTGAATTATATATTGATTTAAATTTATGGATAAATTACACAAATATTTCCGATAAACAAATTCATGTAGTAATTGGAGAGCAAAACAAAATGAGTTTATTTTTAATTGTTTTTAGGTTTTATTAATTAA